CAAACCCACCCACGGAACCGGCGGACCCCCATCCCCCCACGGTCCCACCCACCAGATACCCCCACCCCCAAAAAAACGAACCTGCATGGGGCGCATTTTTTTTTTTTTTTTTTTTTCCTATGTTGCTTACCCTCCCCCCTACGCACCTGCATCAACGAACCGCAGTCCGGTGGACGCATAAATTTTCCCGGCCCACCCTGCTAGACCCATGTGTAGGACCCCCCCGTTTTTTATTTTTTTGTCGGTCTGCCACTTCGAGGGCGTGCGCCGCCTCACCCCCACCCGAAACCACCTCCCATTTCGGCCGCGGCCGGGGGGGTCCCGGCCACGGACGGCGGTTGCGGCCGTGGCCGAATTCGACCGCGGCCAAGGGGAAACATAGCAGCCAAGTGTGAAACGGAACACTACCACATGTATGAACTTTGACAAAAGTGAGAATAGAACTAGTGAAAGCACATTCATATGAGTAGGAAAACAGCCAAGTGTAAAACGGATCACTACCACTTGCATGGACTTGACAAAGTGAGGATAGAACTAGTGAAAACACATTCACATGACTAGGAGAACAACCAAGTGTGAAACAGAGCACTACCACATGCATGGACTTGACAAAGTGGAGGTAGAACTAGTGAGAACACATTCACATGAGTAGAAGAACAGCCAAGTGTATAACGGAACACTACCACATGCATGGACTTAACAAATTGGAGGTAGAACTAGTGAGAAGACATTCACATGAGTAGAAGAACAACCAAGTCTGAAACGGAACACTACCACATGCATGAACTTTTATAAAAGTGAGGATAGAACTAGTGAAAGCACATGAGTAGGAGAACAACCAAGTGTGAAACGGAGCACTACCACATGCATGAACTTGACAAAGTGGAGGTAGAACTAGTGAGAACACATTCACATGAGTAGGAGAACAACCAAGTGTGAAACGGATGCTCGCCTGCCGACAAAGTGTCGGGGACCACATGGGACTGAGTAAAAAATGCGGTATCGGGACGAGTACCGGCGGGACCACCGACGGGACAAGTACCGGTGGGACCACTAGTGGGACTAGTGTCGGGGACTAGTGCGGGACAAGTGGCGCGGCACGTGGTGCAAATAATTAAAGCAAGTTGCACCGTCAAGATCGGAGGTGACGACGGCCAAGGTGAGGCTTATGCTGTCGTCTCAGATGCTCGCCCACCGATTGCACGAAAACTCCTTTGAGCGAGAGAATGTCGTCGAGGATCGACAGTTTCTCCGCAACGGTCATGTCAGCGAGACACTGCCAACAGAACATGTCTGGCTCCTTCACGACGACAAAGAACTTGTCGTCCATTTGCGTTTTCTTTTTGGTCGGAGGCGGTGGGACCCGGACCAGCCATCCCATCTTCGTTTCACCAGCAACCCCTTTCGTGCCCATCTCCGGAATCGCTTGAAGACCCGGAGATTTGTCCGGCATGTTTTTGCCAGGCTTCGACAACGGCGTCTTCCCGTCGCCGCCCAACAACTTTCCTTCGACCCATTTGCCGTAGAAGTCCATGCCTTTGCGGAAAACCTCATCAGCGGCAGTCACGAGCGGCATCCATTGCCTCAGCGCATTCCCAATAGCCACAACCTTGTCCTTGTTGGCGAGCGTTGTCGGAACTTGTGCCATTCTCCAATGGGCATCGTCTGGACTCTTCCCCAAAAGCAGCTTTTGGAAGTTGAAAAATGCTTGTTTTTCAACCTCCTTACCGGAAGGGTTCCCTTGAATAGCCAGCGGCCTGCCTTTCTTCTCCCATGCCTCCCGCATGTCCTCGAAAGCGGCCTTTGCGATCGCTGCTTAGACATTTTGTGTCTGGTGTTCTCCGCAAGACTGACCTGCAAATACCCCCCGAAGTCTTCGTCGGAGAACCACACGACTCTCGCTGGCCACGAGTGCATCTTCCACAATTCGAATATGGGCTCACCGTCCAATGCTTGTACAGCAGCCACGGTGTGTTGTCCGTTGACAGGGTAATAGAAGTACTTGTCCTTGTCCTCAGGCCTGAAGTCATCCTTGTGAACCCTCTAAGCTGTCTCCTGGCGCTGCGTCACCGGCTTGTAGATCGGTGCCAGAACCAAAGGGTTTTTCGTCCATATTTTTCCCTTCTCCTCGTGGAACTGCCTCCACATTGTGTTTTTGATGTCGTCGACATTATCGCGAGTGAGACTGCGGTGATTATAATCTCCCTCCCACGTGGGGATGTCGCAGACCCTCCTGGGGCCGAAGAGCAGTTGAATCGGGGTCTCCTTCTCAACGATATCTTCGTCATCGTTCCACTCGTATTCGAGCCAGAACATTGTGGCTTCGTCGTACCGCTTGGCAACCACCCTTTCGCCACCACTCGCCCCCTCACCACTCTTCCTCCTCCGACTTTTCTTCTGCCGATCGCCTACTTCAGCTGCCAATTTCCGTTTCGATTTCTCGGAGGGTTCCCCCGCGACGGGAACGCCTCCACGAGCCGAATCTCTTTCACCCTCAGCTTGCCGCTCGCCGATGGTCAAACCGCCGGCCGTCTTTTTGCGCGTCGTTGCAGTTTCTTGATTCGACTGCCTCTTTTTGACATCTTCTTGTCCTCCACGCATCCTTGGCATCTTTTTTCCGGTGCCATGTCCCACAACGCCACCTTCATCCCCGCCAATCGCAGACTCCGATGATCCTTTCAACCTCTTCATGTATCTGGTTTCTTCCGCCACCTCTTCTCGCACCCTCCACTGTCGCTCGCGGTTCTGCTCCGAAGAAGATGGCCCCCCGCCAAAGCTGTCGCGTACAGCGCCCATCCCTCCAACCCCAATCCCTCCAAGTGTCCTCGAAGCGAAAACGTGTCACCCTGGCAGACAAACGTGAGGATTTTCGGTGTCGCAATGTGGTGAGTCCCTGCATCTGGAGAAGTCAAGCCGACGCGCTCCCTTGAGCAGCCGGGGGGACCGGCGTCTGACTCCCACCCGTCGGTTCCATGCCCTGACCCTCAATGCCGAGAATGACACTCCCGTGCCCCACTTTCGTCACAGGGGTTTCCCGAGGTGAGCTGAAAGACCCCTTGTGGGCTGTCAGAAGCCGAAAAACATAATCTCGAGGAAGAATAAGACGCTCTTTCGGCACCTTCAGCGCAAGATCGAGATAGTCCACTGGAGGTGGAAGAGGCCTGCGTTTGGCATCGTAAAGCACTTTGAAGTGACGGCAGAGCAGCATATTCGAGCCGTACCCAGCGAAAGTCTTGACCGACACTACCACACCCTTAACACCTCTGAAAGGCAGTCTGCAGTGGTCGTACAAGATGTTAGTCTGCAGCTTGAGCAAGCCTCCAGACTGTTTGCGGTACCCGGTGATGGTACCGAGAGGATAAACGTCCGTTGCTCCCGCAGCTTCCGGAATGGCAGGGCCCCGCATGAAAACAGCTGGCCCGACAAGCTCCCGGTCGACAACGAAGTCCAGAAACCATGGTGCATCCCTCGAATGAAAATACAGAGGAGTAGATTGCGACAAATGTTGTCCCTCCCCGGGGGCAGAGGGACCACCGCTTGTCGATGTGTTCTTCACAGATGCCATTTCACTCCCAATGCGAAACCAATACGCGCAACCCTTGACAAAATCGGATGATAGGAATAAAGCGACGATGTTCATCTAAGAGTTGCGGGAACGAAAACAACACCATCATGGCGGAGCGAGTTAGAAGGAAAAAACTCGGCAATCCTGGGGACGATGAGAAAAGTGGCTTGTCTAGGCTGAAGTCCGAACTAACTCGCAGTTCTGGAAACGAAGAGCTCTACAACACGCACGGTGTCCGACAAATGCGAACTAACTCGCAGTAATGGAGAAAAGACAACAATTCGAGCTAGCAGTTCCGGGAACGAGGAACTGGCGATGCCTGGCGTTCAACGAAGACACGGCGTGTCACAAAAAAAGTGCAAACTAATATGGAGTTGTCGAAATGAAGACCTGAAACACGCACGACACGCGTGTCGACAAGTGCGAACTGACTCGGACTTGTGGATACGAAGGGCAACGACTCGCGCTTCTGGAAATGAAGACCTTGCTTTCAGGAATGAGGTGTCAGGAGACGAGTGAAACATATCCCAGTACGTGTCGCGAAAGTGCGAACTAACTTGGAGTTCGGGATACGCAGGCCTACAGCTGCTACAACACTTTGGTCGCAAAGTGCGAACTAACTCGCAGTTGTGGGTGAGTTCCGACGTCGCTGGGGTAGAAGAACAAAAAGTGCGAATTGATTCGACCTTACGGAAGCGGCACGGACGAGTTCATGTACACATGCATATATATATATATATATATATATATATATATATACATCTATGTATTGAAAAAAAAACGGGATTGATTCGTCGTTCGATGAAAACCTGGTGTCCGGTTGGGGCCCAAGACGGGTATATATGTATACAAACAATATCCTGGCAGATTTGCAGCGTGCAGGTTCAGCCACGGCGAGAGGAAATCGAGCCACAAAGCGCGGACCGACTATGGCGGACTGTGGTTGAGGGTGAAGCAGGGGTATGAGAACGCTGGCGGTGGCGATAGCGCGGAACAACGAAACCGAGAATTGATTCGGGGTTAAACATGCGGTGCAGACAGTGCAACTGGGAATGTGTTCGGAAATCACACACAGATCACGACAGCGGAAACAGCATGTCACCTTCGAAGAACTTTGTGTGAACGACTATCGTCGGACGGATATGGACGTACGACGAGCGAACCAGTTATAGCACACCAGGGAAATCGAGCTACGAAAAGCAAACCGGCTCTTTGAAATGGAAGTCGCGCTACGAATAGCAAACCGGCTATGGCGGAAGGACGTGGTGGGTGAAGACAAGATGGCACAACGAGCGCGGTGGCGATAGCGCGACTTCAACTATGGAGCTGGCAGACAACAAATGGGATAAAATGAGGGCGGCAACGTCTTTTATACTTTTTCGCCCAGGCATCACGTCGGGACCAAGGAGGCTGCGGACATGGCTTTTCGATTCGCCACTTGTTCGCATATCGCACGCCAGGGTGAATAGGATGCTAGGGCCCATAAAACGCCAGACCCTATAAAATGGCAAGGACAGGTTGGGACTCGAAAGGTCAGAGGTACCGCCAATCGCTGGTCGTCGATCAACAAATGTCGACGGCGCAGATCAAAGAAACCACTGGCATGCCAGAGACCCTAAATTCTCCACAACTCCGACGTGGAGTGATATAACACTTCCGGGAATTACGAGACAGTCCATATCAGTTTCGTTGTCGAAGTCTCGGTCGTTGATCGTCGTGATCCGACGTACAAAGTGGAGCGTCGTAACACCCCAAGGTGAGGCGCAGTAATCGCAGCGCAACCGTTCGTTGCGCGTCGAGGCCAGGCGCGACGGTCCGTTGCGCGTCGAGGCACAATTCCGAGCGGTCGCGAAAACCCAGCGCGGCGGTTCATTGCGCGCCAACGTCAACGCACGAGACCATCAACATGTGGTCTGGCAGACGTTGCGACATTGTGCAAATGTCAACAGCAGTGGATATCAGACGTCCACAGTCGCGTAATTTCGAATCAACGCAACGCTTGCGAACTGAATCGCGTCCATTCCCGTTGTCGCCATCGCCGTCGCCATCGATGCGCTTAGCTCTTCACCATCACTGCGCAGAGCTATATCCTCCATCACAGCGCTGGCAATCGCTATCGCTCTCGCTACCATCGCAGCGCTGGCCATCGTTATCTCTCTCCATCACTACATCTCTCTCCATCGCTATCGCTGCTATCGCAGTGGCGGGCCATCTTCCACGCCATCTCTCTTCATTGCTGCGCCATCTTTCTCCATCTCTCTCCATCGTTCTCCATCTCTCTCCATTGCTCTCCATTGCTCTCCATCGCTCAACATTGCTGAGTTAGTTTTTTCCACCACTGCGCTATCTCTTTCCATCGCTGCTCGATCTCTCTCCATCGGTGCACGATCTCCCTCTATCGCTACGCCATCTCTCTCCATCGCTCCATCTCTCATCACTCGTGCGTGACCTCTCTTAATCGTTGTGCGATCACTCTCCATCGCTGCTCGATCTCTCTCGCTGCGCCCTCGCTTTCCATCGTTGCGTGATCACTCTCCATCGCCACTGTACTATCGCGGTAGCCCGTCGTCGGTGCAGCCGCCCGTCATCGTTGAATCGCTCTTAAAAAAAGCATCAGGTATGAGTAATGAAAGTTTAACACGACGGATATAATAGTGAGTAAGCTAGTTTCGAATTGATCTCAGATGCATCATATATAAAAAACTAGTGAGAAACACGGCGACCCTGCTCTCTCGGCACACCAGATCTCTCCATCGGCTCGTAATCGCTGGTCATCGTTGACCATCGCTAACCATCGCCGCGCCATCGCAAACCATCGCCTCACCAGATCTCTCCATCGGCTCACCACCGCTGACCATCGCTGACCATCCCTCGCCATCGCTGCACCACATCTCTCCATCTGTGCGCCATCACTAACCATCGCTGCGTCTGCTCTCTCGATCGGCGCCCCATCTGTGCGCCCCATCTGTGCGCCATCATTAACCATCGTTGCGCCTGCTCTCTCGATCGGTGCGTGATCTCTCTCCATCACCGTGCCATCTTTGTGCATCTATCTCCATTGTTGCGCCATCGCTGACCAAGCGACCTATTGTATTGTCGTTGTAGTCCGCCATCGGTGTAGCCGCCCATTATAGTCGAATCGTACGAAACATGATAAGGCAATTTTGAACTGATCCATAATGCATTATATCTAAACAAACATACGATAGACGATTCAAGAACGGCACACTAACGTGGCAGCTGGATATGCATGGAGTTGCCTATAAACTAGCTAATTGGCAGATACGTTTGTAGTTGTGAGATTCGTGGATTGGAGTTGCCTACGTACAAGAATGCTTGTCGGATATACCTTCAGTTTCGAAATCAAAATGAGTGTGGTGAACAAGTTCGAGTGAATTACCGCTTCTTCTCGGCCAGGAAAATGAAGTCCTTTTCTATGTGCGAATTCACTCGCTCTTCAACGAACCACGAAACTAATTTCTTACTACACGGCGGATAAGTCTGAATAAACTCGCACTTGCACTCTCACTTCCGAAATCTCATTTCAAGTGCGAATTTATTCACTCCTAAACAATCCAGGTCCCTGAATTTCTTATTGTACAGTGGGAATGCTCATTTCAAGTGCGAATTTGTTCGCTCTTGATCCAACCAGCAACCTATTCAAGTGCGAATTTGTTCGCACTTGCATTCAATGTGCAAGTCTATTTGCCGCTGAAGCAACCATAAATTTATTTGCAATTGTATAGGGCATAAGTCCGAGTCAACTCGCACTTGTGATCTCCCCTAAATGCGACGCACTTTTCTATGTATGAATTTACTCGCTCTTTAACTGACCCGGAATCTTGTTTCTTACTGTTTGGTGAATGTGCGAATGAACTCGCACTTGTACTCTCGCTGAATGATCATCCGAGCTTATTTGTTGCTGAACCGACCAAGATCGTACTTCCAACTGTATGCTGCAGATGTCGCAGTCAACGGGCACTTCCGGTGTGCCCTAAATGCGCAAAACATCTGTGCTCTATGTGCGAGTCAATTCGGTCTTACATTTTTTGTGTATGATGAATCTGTGTATCGAATGACGCACACTTATACTCTCGCCTGAATGCAAGTACGAGGAACTTCGCACTTGCGCTCTCGCATAAAGGACCTCATATGCAGGAGTGACAATCAACTAATGCCAGAGAAAAAGTGCGAGTTCACTCGGACTTCTCCAAACCACTTGCACATCAAACTAGTTGTAAGGAAAACAGTCATTCACTGAGACAGCTTGACCTTTGAGTCAGGCTCTCGAAGTGCCACAAAAGTCTTCGGTTGGTTAAAGAGCGAATACACTCGCACATGAATAGATTACACGACCGCGAGAGAACGAAACTCATTCAAAAAACTGTTGTTTCATTGTTTTGTGATAAATATTACAAATGCGAGTTTGCTCCCTCTTGTTTATTTCCCTGACCTCGTTAAACGTTGACGTGATTTTCTTGTTGTACATCTTTCGTTCGAATCGTCTCGTGAAATGGGTGCCCAGCCCGGAGAAGACGATGTTCGAGAACGTAGTTCTTGTGACAGCAATCCGGAAGCTCCCTGCGAACGGCCTCGTGATTTGAAAAGGGAGTTCCCTATGTTGACCCCGACGAATCGTGCGGGGTCCCCTATGACGTCCAATCGGCGTCGTATTGTTCGTTGTCCCGACGTTCTAGACGGTCAGCGCATATGTACAGCGCCAATCACCGATAGTGATGGTGATAGGGATATGCACATGATTCCCGATGGATTGATGTTCGTGGACACTGATTTCTGTGGTGTGTCTGAAACGACTGGATGAGGTCTCGTGCGGACGACCGGTCGGCTGTGTGAAAGCATTGAAGTTACCAAACCACTAGCGTTTGACTATAGTTGCTCGTTGGTAGACACTGACTTCTGTGGTACACCCGATAGAAACGAATCTGCTCGGGAGCAGTCCGACACGTCCGATAGAAACGGGTCTGACAGGGAACACGCAGCGAAACGTCCGGGTGAAAGTGCCGAGACAGGTAAGACAATTCCAATCGAATCCATAAAAATTGACTCTCCATCGGGTTTGTTGAGTACGCATGTCCACGTACATGCTCCATCGATGGCAGTCACGGGTGCGACGGGAAATTGGCAGATTGGTTTCGTAAACACAGGCTTCTATAGTTCGTCTGAGTCCTCCCGG